ACTATTTATGACAAGAACTCAATGGCAGACTCTTTGACCTCCCACCTCCCAAAGGAGGAACAGTCCTTCTAGGCCACAGAGGAGGACTTTGCAGCCAGTCCTGAAGATACCTGATAAAACAGGGTCAGATGAAAGGGGAGGAGGACCTCCACTGATAGGAGGTCCCCCCTATCAGTGGACTTGGAAAGGGACAGGGAGGAGATGAGGGAGGGAGGGTTTGGGAGGGAATGAGGGAGCGGGATACAGCTGGGACACAGAGTTAATAAAATGTAACTAATAAAAACTAAAATAAATAAATAAATAAAAAGAAATGAAAAAAATCTTATTTATTTGTTATGCATGTGTGTGTACAGCATACAGAAGAGCTTGCCATAGTAACATGTGGAGGTCAGAGAACAATATTTTTGTGTTTTGTTTCTCTTCTTCCACCATGTGGGCAGAACTCAGGTTGGGAAAGCATCTACTGAGCCATCATGCTGCTCCCCTAAACTGCCTTTGTAATCTGTCAATCATATATCTTCTGGTCATAGAAGTTTTAGGTTTGGTCTGATTCTATTTGTCCATTTTCAGGCTTCTCTGTGTTTTTTGATGGCATGTCTGAGCATGCCTGTTGTATGAGGTGATTAATAGTTACTAATAATTATCTTTTAGTAACGATGCTGTTAATCCTAAACAGCTATATACCCAAATCACCACACAGAGACTGGGATTTATTTAATTAACCTAGAACACAATGCTGGGCAATAGTTACTCCATCCTAAACCTCTAAGCCTTCATAGTTTTCTAAAATTTAGATTTCCCACATTATACTTGCTTTTAATGATATATTAGGTCCAGTCCATCTCTCCACATTGTTCCAAGACCTTTCCTCCTGCCTCTGCTCTCTCAGCTCTTCCTGTCCTCTGGCTCCTCCCTCTCTTCCTGCTTCCTTTCCCTTGCTCAACATTGTGGCTAGTTGCTTTATTTTGGCATGTTTACCCAAAGTTGAAACAGGTGATGCTTAGAATAAGTATCACAATGCAATGTCCAGATTGAAACCAGAGAGTAGGGGAGAGAAATCAGCATTTGAATGAACAAGGGTAAAGTGTATGCATTCCAAAAGAACATTATACCAACATTTCCCCCTTTAAGTCCAATAAAAGGCTCCTTTTCTTTCAATACAATAATAATTATAAAATTATGAAAACTGTTAGGTAAAATCTACATATGCAATGTTCAGTCCATGTGTATTTAGCAACTTAGGAGAAAGTATCTGATTATCCTATCTATCTTGACAAGTTTAAAGTTCTATACCTAAATTAACTTTTAACCTTATTGGTATTACCTATAAGAAAGCATTTCTTAACTTCTAAACAACTTAAACTTAAATGTGGCACTATGACTATTTGGTCTTAAACCACATCAGAGACTTGAGAAGGAATAAAAGTAGTGTTTGGAGCAAGTAGGAAGTGCATGTTAGCAGCTTCCAATAAATAAAAAATTGACAGAGACAGTTTGCTGCCTGAATAGTCACCCATAACTTTTTATAATATTGGAGCATCACATGTCATTGCCTAACTCCATTAATTTCTTTAAATTTTTATTTTTTGCAGTTCCAGGGTCTTGTGTATGCTAGGTGAGTGCTCTACAAATTGAGCTACAGCCACAGATCCCTATTCACTTGTAAAATTTCCTCGCCTCAGTTGCCACTGTCTGGTTCCCTACTCTATCACCTCCAGATAAAAGAGAGCCCATCTCTTCTATGGTGATGTGGGAGCATTGAGACAGAGTCATCAAGGCTGGTCTGGAACTCATTATGTAGCCCATGCTGGGACTCACAATTATAGGGATTCACAATCCTCCTACCTTAGCCTCCAGAGTGCTAGAATTACAGGCCTGCATGACCACACCCAGATGGCAGGGAACTCTGTGTGTTCCTTGATCCATGAATATAAGCTGTGCCTGTCCACAGGCCTGCAGAATGTGTGTGCAGTGACTGGGTGGTGTTTGACAAGGTTTGATTTAGAATCTATACCTGACCATCCCTGGACAGTGCCTCAAGATTCTTCTAGTAGATACTATGAAAAAAGGGACGAGGGTTTTAGGAGTGGAGCCACCTGCCATCCCATAATATAGTACCTAAGGGATGAGTTGAAGCTGTTGATGTCCAAAGAGAGTTTTGCACTGGAGAAGGTCTAGAGAGTTTTTGTGCTCTTCATGGAATGGACTCCTCGAAGGGGGTATGAACATGAGGCTTTTAAGGGATGCAGAGAACAACCAGAGTGAGGTGAAGGAGATCTTGAATTCATTTCCACCCTCTCTGCTGCAACAGGAGGTGAGTATTGAGGGTCACTTTAAGATGGGAATGGAACCCACATACTCAGCTATCAATATCTTCAGGAATTTGGTAATAAGATCAGGGTTCACAGCTTCCCACTGTTGGATACACTCTTGGCTTTGCCATGTAGGGTCCAAAAGTGACTTACAAGACTCAGACTCAGAGAGTATGCAAAGACAAGAGTAGATTTTACTAAGAGACATGTTACAGCATGCAGGGGTCAACCATTCTGGAAAATGATGACCTGAGACAAAGATGCACAGGCCTTTTAAAGGAAACTGGGGATTTCCAGGAATGATGAGCTAATCTCTATTTTGATTGAGGTGCTAAGGAGCAGTTACATTAGGCCTAAGTTGATTGGTTGGGGCCAGGTCATCTCAAGCAACAGTCTTTGGGCCTTTCAACCATATATAGTCATCCTTGGAGCTGATTGGCTCAGGTTTACCCAGGACCTTTCATGGGCTTTTCCTGGAACTAGGGGTCTAGAGACAAAAGGAATCTCTCTAGTCCTCCCAGTCAGACTGTCATGGAGTTCCTGAAACCTCTGGGCTGGTCCACATACTTTTACGTAAAATCTTTTATTAGCAAGAACCTACCACCCCACATCTGACATACCTGATCACCCTCCTCATCCCACCAGTGATGTCTCCCCACCCTGCCCTGTACACTGCCAGATGGCTACGTCAGAGCAGAGAGAGTCTAGCTCATTCCTGATGTTCCCACGGGGCCTTTTCCTATACATGGATCTGCATCCTGATTCCTGATTATTAGGCCCCAACTTGCCCACACTGTGTTTGGAGTTAGACTGCATCTTCACCCCTCAGGCCCCATAGGAAAACTCAGAGCCAGGGAGATGGCTCAGCTGGGTAAAGGTGATGGTGGCTAAGCATGAAGACTGGAGTTTGATCCCTGGGGCCAGGCAGTTTTTCCATCATGGGAAGGAGAGAACTGACTCCTGCAAGTTGTCTTTTGACCTCCAGAAGTTCCTATTCCCCTTCACACAAAATAAATAAGTTAATGTAATTTTTAAAACTCCATTGTCAAAATGCATTATATCTATTGGAACAGTCATCAATAAAATTTTCTTACAGTGTTTCTAACAATTCAATGTGTGTGTGTATTTAACAGTACTGACATTTATTTTTATTATTTTTCTTCTTCCCCCAAACCAAACAGCAGCATTCCTTAAACTCTCTTGCTATAGAAATATGGTTCTTGGGTGGCAGGCCCAAGGACTCAGCTCCCCCTCCCCTTTTGCTGGGGTCAGGGAAATGAGCCTTCTTCCTGGCCCTTGCTGGGGCCTCTAGCCAGCAGCTGGAGGGATTAAGGAAAAGAGGCTCCTGGCGTCCCTGAGTCTGGAGTGGCTGCCCAGGATGTCCCAGGAGAGCTGAGTGGGCCAGAGGGCTGGAGGCTCCCAAATCAATCAGAGGTCTGAAGGTCACTGAATGGTGACCTTTGAATCAGGATCCTGGTAACCCTGAGGCTTGCACACGCTTGAAGGGGTGGGGGAGAAAGGCAGATGTTTGAATCCAGTTCTTTTCCCAGAGAGGTGCCCTCTCATAAAGTCCTTCCAAACTCCCTGCAAAAAGAGCCCCTTCTCCCTTCCCTCCTCTCGGCGGCACTGCAGTCTGGGGTGCTGAGGGAAGTTTCTAGCAGCTCCCCGTTAGCTTCCTTCCTGAAAGCGCCTAGTAGCCTCAGGTAGCGATATACAGATACTGTAAGGCAGAAAGCAGCAAGGAGTGAAAATTGCCCACAATTGCTTAGGAGTGTGCTTAGCCATTTTAGTAAATCAGATAATAAGGGATCCATGGGAGGGCCAACAAAGTGGCTTAGCAAGAAAGGTCCCCACCATCAAACTTGCTTACCAGAATGGGAGCCCCAGAACCTGCTTGTGCAGGTTAGAGGACAATGTTCTGAAGTCAGTTCTCTTCTACCAGGAGAGTCCTGAGGATTCTCGTGTCCTCAGACCTGTTGACAAGTGCTTTTACTCTTGAGCTCACTTTCTTTCATTTCATCTTTGTTGTGGTGGCTTAGGTTTTTTGTTTATTTGTTTGTTTTTTGAAATAGCATCTAGATAAAAAAATGACTTCTGAAAGTTGTCCTCTGGCTGCCACAAAAGTGCTCTGGCATGTGCACCCACACAACACATACACACACACACATACACACACACACACACCATATATGTACATAAATGTAATTTTTAAAGCATCAAGGAATATAATGTATTGGAAATAATGTCTTCCATTTTCTTGAACTTCTTTTACATGGGAGGAGAAGCAGCTGTCACCAGTGTTGACTGAAAGGTGGCTGTTTAACCAGCCTACTTGCTGTAGTATTCTGTTCACCACCGACCAGTCAGTTCTCTCCTAATTTATTCCCACTAACATTAGTGCACTGCCTAAGGTGAATGGAGGTGACATAATTCGTGATAGATAATCTAAATAAGATCATTTATACTGTACATTCTAATGTGTTGATACTGTGTGCAAGATGGTCAGTTGGTAAGAGTGCTCTGCAGGCCAGCATCTTCTCATGCACTGTCTGAGGCAATAGGCAGCTGCCTGGCCAAGCCAATCTTTTGATCTACATCTGGGAGCTTCCAACAGCACCTTGCTAAGCAAGACGAGCTTATCTCCTCTGAGATCTAAGACCCACTCTATGCTCCAGGGTATGGTTCCGCAGCAACTGTGTGTGTTTTGTTGACTTGGTTGACACACAAAGACATAAGAAAACAAGTGCAAAAGTAAATCCTCATTTACAACTTTGAACTTTCTGTTCAGTGTGAGTTTTGATCCATATGAAAAGGAATATGCTCAGTGATGACGATATTGATTATGAAGCTGGTTCCAAGGACAATAAGTTGATCATTTGAATGCAGAAGTAATGAGCAAACTCAGCCGTGTTGGGTGAACATTCCAATTATCATGTGATAGACCAGGATTCTCAACCTGTGGGTCACAACCCCTTTGGGGGTCTCTTATTAGATATCCTGTATATCAGACATTTACATTATAATTCATAACAGTACCAAAATTACAGTTATGAAGTAGCAATGAAACATGGTTTAGGAGTCATAATCACAACATGAGGAACTGTATTAAAGAGTCACAGCACTAGGAAGGCTGAGAACCACTGTGGTGGATTAAGATTCCTCTCCTTCATTTTGCTAAACACTGTATTACATCACTTTACTTATTGTGCATGTGTGTGTGTGTGTGTGTGTGTGTGTGTGTGTGTTTGTGTTTGTACATGTGCCTGAGTGCAAGTCAGAAGACAACTTGCTGGATTTGGTCCTCTCCTTCTGACAGTTCGTCAGGCATGATGGCTAGTGCCTTTACCCAATGAGCCATCTTCCCACTTCTCTTTCTTTCCTTTGTCTTTATTGCTGTTGTGGTGGTGATTTGGTTTTGTTCTGAGAGAGTGCCTCACTATGTAGTTTAGGCTGTCCTGTAACTCACAGTGTAACCCAGGTTGATGTCCTGAACCCTCAGTCTTCTTGCCACACCTCCCCAAATCCCACGACTTTGGGAATTTGACATTACAGCAAGCTTGGACTTTCTTTCAAATGAGTGAATGAAGATTTAGATGCTGTGTTGGCAGGTTTCAGTTGAGTGACATTGCCAGGCCAGAGAACTTGGGAGCTGCTGCCAGACCTAGTCTCTCTATTGGTTCTCTCTTTGCTTGCTTTCTTAGGACTCAAGCTATAGGTTTTCCATATATCACCAAACCCACCCTGTCCAGGTATTTATCCAAAAGATTTCAAGTCAATGTATCACACAGACACTTGCACATCAAGATTTTTTGCAACACTGCTCACAAAAGCTAAGATATGGGGGCCAGCCTAGGTATCCATCAACAGAGTGATGGACATAGAAAATGTGCCCTGTCTACTTATCTGTACATATACGCACATATGTGTATGTGAGTTATTGTACATAAAAATAGTTATGTTAATAGCAAGAAAATGGGTATGTTTTAAAAACAGCATTTTTTAATTTAGTTTTTTGTTATTATACAAAGCATTAGGTTTCATTATGGATTTTCAAACAAAATTTGTTTTTGCTTATCTTCCTCTTCAGCTTTTCTCCCTGTTCCCCATCTTCTCTTTTACCTTTCTACCCTCAGTCTCCTCCTTTCTTCTTTCGTGTCACATGCACCCTGTTGCCCTTCCACCTTCCTTCCCTAACTCCTCTTTTTCTCCTGCCCTGGATTTCTGTTCTAATCCTGTAGCCTATACCTGCATTCACACCCACTCCTATGTACACAGATGTAACCAGTACAAGCCAGCATCCACATATGGGATCAACAGGAGACTGTCATAGTAAGCAAGTTAAGCCAGGCTCAGAAAGACTCGTATTTTTTTTTCTCACTTGAAGGTCCTAGATATTACATAGATACATAAAAATCACACATACATACTCAAACACACACACATAACATGAAAGCAAAAATGAAGCCATGGGGACAAAAGGGACTAACCCAGTGGGGTGAGAAGGATAGGGGGTGTGGAAAAATGTATTCAGCATACAATACATACTTGTATAAAAATTTAAAATAAGGAAAATTTAAAAACAAATGGCCACTGAACACTTGAGAGCAGGGGCCATGCCAAAACACATTTCCTCAAATATCTTTTTCTCTCTGAGGCCTACCTTGCCTGAGAATCATTTCCTCTAAATCTATTTGAATTTTGAAATTACATATATTTATTTATGAGTCTGTGTACTGTGCATAAGCCCATGCATGAAGGTGTGTGTGTGTGTGTGTGTGTATGAATTTGCCACAGCACGCATGTGGAAGTTGGAAGCTAGCATGCAGGAGTCAGTTCTCTCCTTCCACCATGTAGATCTCAGGGATCAAAATCAGTCATCAGTCTTGGTGAGAAGCGCTTTTACTCTCTCAGCTTTCTGTCTGTTCCTGGCTTCATTCTGCTTATTGATGCATGTAGGTTTCTCTCTAATACTGAAAGTGGCAGTTTGTAAAATTCCATGTGAAGTGTCCAGGAAAGACAGAGCCATTACATGGGAAAGTGAAAGACTTAAGGACAAACCATCTCAATATATGCCATGTTGGGTTATCAGCTATTTGAAGTTGAAACTCCCAGAGGAACTGTAGCCACAGGAAGGGCCATTGAGCCTGCTTTCCCAGGAGCAATCAGGCTGACACAGAGCCTCCATCACCACAGGCCATTGAGTGGGCTGCCCTAAACCTGTGTAACACCATGGAGCAGCCCTTATCTCCCTGAGCCTGACAGCCCCATATATCTCCCAGCTACAGCCTCGAGTTTACTCCCCCAGTCAGAGACCCATCTGTCTTGTTGCTCCTTCTCAAAAATATTACTCTTTGTCTGAAATGTGCCAGGGCATATTTGGACATCAGATGCTGATGAAAACCTCAGTGGATATATAAAATTAATGCAGGTTTAATGTTTTTTTCTCTTCATACTTAGTTCTTATATTCCTTGGGTCCCTAGATTCAACCAAACAACTAAGTGAAGAAAAGACACTCTATGACTTTCTGTTTATCTCCATCTCTCTGTTTCTCTCTGTCCCCATCTGTCTGCCTGTCTGTCTGCCTGCCTGTCTGCTTGTCTGTCTCTTAGGAACATGCATACACACACACACACACACACACACACACACACACACACACACTGATGCAGATATGTTGTGTGAATCTTTATTCCCCCACTTGATGAATTGATGGCTCTACTGGGTTGAGTTACAGGAGAGGAAGTGGGGGTGTGTGAGGGTGGGGGTGTTATTTGCAGGGGTGTTGTATGATTCCCACTCCCTGCAAACAGCTGTGTTAGCATGAACTCTCACCCTAGCACAGGCAACAACTTCCCCATAGCTGAACAGTTCACCTTTACTCTGTGTACTCCTCCCAAGACCTTGAGACTATATGCCTGGGGCAGAATGGCCTGCAGCTGCCAGGGAGGTGAAGCAGGAAAGAGCAGCTGCAGCCTCAGATGAGGGTCTCATGATCTTCCCCAGTCTCTCTGTTTTTGAGGGAGGACCAGTCAACAGGTCTCTATGTTGAAGGTCTCTTGCAGGTAATCAAGGCTGCTCTGACTAAGACAGTAATAGCAGTATGCCCTAAGTACAGCAGTCCTAAGCCAATGACTCGACTAAGGACTCCCACTCATCTCTTAGTTGCAAGGGAGAGGAATCATTTCAGATAGGTCCATCCACTAAGGAAGAGAGGTAGGCGTTACTGTCCGATGCCAGATGCAGCATTAAAAACGAGTCTCATGTAGCTCAGGCTTGCTTCAAACCAACAATGTAGCCAAGGAAATTTTGAACTCCAGATTTTTCTGCCTCTACCTTCCCAGTGCTGGGATTTCAGACATGCATCACCCACTCCCAAGTCCATGTGGCACTGGAAAGCAAACCCAGAGTTCCCTGTGTGCTGGATAAGCACTCTACCAACCGAGCTACTTTCCCATCTTGTAGTGTCGCCTGCTTTCCTCTCAAGTGAACTCTGGGTCTCCTTAGCTTGCAGCAGCTTGACCCCTGGAAGGTATAGTTTAGCAATTTGTGATGGTTTGTGCTAACGTGAGGGACTGTCTAGATCAGGTAGGCCTCTGGGCATGTCTGTGGACAATTGTCTTAACTATGCCCATTGATATGAGAAGACTTGGGCTAAGAGCAGATGGTTCCACTCCCTTGAGTTTGGGTCCTAGAGTATATACAAGGAGAAAAAGTGAATACCATCCTTTTCTGCTTTTGACTGTGAATATCATGTGACCAGCTGTTTCAAGTTCCTGCTTCATTTGCTTCCTATTATGATGGATTGTCGCCTGGAGTAGTGCACTAAGCTAAATGCTTTCCTTCCTAAATTACTTTTTGTCAGGCCATTTTATCACAGCAACAGAAACTGAAGTAAAACATGACCCTGTTGGAACCCAGAGCAGATTGCTGCTCCCACCACAAACCCTACAGAAGCCCTCCCCCTCTTCGGAGACAGTGTCAGGTCCTTACTGGGAGCACCCCCTGAGAAACTAACAGATTTCCAGGTGCCTGTGTCTCTCACAGTGTAAGTACGTTTATATCAGCAAGGGCACAGGGTTATCTCTGCCCATACATCCTGCTCCCCACTTGCTCTTTTACCTCTCACAGGGGGAATCAGGGAGCTTGGCTGTGAAACCCAACCTATTCCTCCAAATGTCCCTTCCCCAACTCTGCCACACAGGCCTGGTTTCCTCTTTAGGACTTTCACTGCGCCATCCCTTAGTGCACTGGGGCCGGAATCTCCTCAGTATCCCTCCCATGCTGTTGTCTATCTGTCTGTCTGCCTATATCATTAAAACCTCTTCCAGGAAACTTCTTAGCTCCTGACTTATTGACAGTGTCCCCTTGAGAGATTTCAAACCTCAGTAAGTAAAAGATTTCAGTTGGGGTTGGGTTTTGGTGACCTTGTCTAGATCCTGAAAAGGAATCCTCTTCACTGAGCCTTAGAAAATGAGAGCCAGGGGAGAAACTACCTCAGAGGAAAGCCACCAAGCATTTGGCAGGAGAAGAGGACATATGGTATGGGATACATTGTAGCTATTCTAAGGAAGGCCTGCTGGGTATTCAGATGGTGAGCTACTCTTATCTGCTCAATTCAGACTCATGATCATGTTTTTCCTCTTCTTTCCGATATTTTTGGTGGCACGGCAAATATTTTCTGCTTGCCTCTTTCTATGAAACACTCAGCAAAAGTGGGCGGTGACTCACACTTATTTGGGCTTTCCACCCATCCTGGAAAGTCTTTTACATGTTTAGTATCCTGCTTGTTTCATCCACAGAGACACCAAAGACCAAAGAA